GACCAAGAATGATTGTTAACCATACCTCTGTAATAATCTTTCTTTGGTCCCATAACAATAAAGTCTTCCAGTAGCGCAACATCTTATCAGGCTATTTAATTTGTAACGATATTAGTATTTTTAACCATTGTTAACATCGCTATTATATTTATGTTTTTAAAGTTATAATAAGGAAAACTTTTCCGAGCTGTCTGCTATCCTGCATCCCTTCCTTTGTGTGCCTTTTGATATCACTTATTCTCACAGGAAGAGAAAACGAAACAAAATAATGCTCGGTGCAGTAAGTGCCACAAAACGGCTTTGCTTAAATAAATTTAAGGCAAAAACATTTTGACGCTCAAAATTAAAACATTAAGTTGTGATTTGAAATGAGTGAAAAATGAATAAAGAAATTGTGATTTGAAAATAAAGCATTTGCCTTATAAAATTGAAATTTTGTACTCTAACGTTTGTAAGTAAATTCCATAAAAGCACTGATTATAATTTCAGGTCTATGAATTTCATGACATAATGTAAAGGACACATCAACAATAGGTTGGCGCAAATAAGGGAACTGTTATCACTGAAAGGGACTGAGTTTCTATATCTCAAACAAATTCATTGCCTGTTGCTTTTATCCCGCTCCCATCGCTCCTTCCGTACCTTGATCACCTTCATTGCCTCGAAGTCCTTTCAATCCTCTATTTCCTTTGTCGCCCGGCTCACCCTGTAGTCCAGGTGATCCAGGCTTTCCTGGAACTCCTCTTGGACCATCTGGGCCAGGAGGTCCTAACTCGCCATGAATTCCATCTCTCCCATCTCGCCCTGGTGGACCTGGTGGTCCTGGCGGTGCAGACCCTTGTCCTCCTGTCTGTAATGGTCCACAGGCCTAAAAACAAAATTTGCGCACAATTTGCAAAAGTGCCTTAAATCATACCGTTTATAATTTAGAGACAAACTATTAAGACTTACTTGGACGACGAAAACAGCGCAGATGACCAGTAGGAAAGTATCGAAAAGATGCATTGGTATTGGGAATCTGAAATTGACTTTGTGCTAAGTGACAAAAGATTTTCAGGCTGCGTCAAAACCTTATATTTTTGATATTTTGAAAGATTCAAGAGAAGAAAAAATAACAAACAGAATTAAAAATTAAAATGTATAACCGATTCCAAAGCAGGTATTCAGGTTTCTTTAGAAAATCGTTTCAAAATAGAAATTTTTCACTGATGAAACATTTTCCTTATTTACAATACACGAATTCCTTGCAACTGTTAGATCGGGATTTAAAAACCTCGCTTAAAATTTCTAACACTTTCGAAATACAAAAAATAAACTGTAATCAATTGATCAGAATTAATGAAATCCATCTGATATAGGATAGATGTGAGAGAAGGTTTAAAGACTTAAATTAGAACTTAATAAATCGAATTTTAAAGACAAATTTTCCATTTATATTGGAAAATAGGATGTCTGATATGAATCATTCCAAAATTCATAAAAGAAAGAAATATTTTAAGAATTCTTTGTGGAATAATCATATTGAATACAACAAAATGCCACAAGCAGCACTTATTGCACTCGAATACTAAGTGAAGGTTTAAAATACTGAAATATTCGAGACGGTTAAAATTGTACACCTTAATGAAATGTTGCACTACCGTAATGATTTATTATTAAAGAACTTTAAAAAAGACCATTACGGAAAAAATGAGTGATTATCGATAATTTGGCTTAAGACTTATTTTAAGTGAAGCAGTTTGTTGAGAGTAATTAAGACCATAAGATTTGAAGTAAAGGACAGTTGCTGAATAAAGAAGGATAGAAGTGTTAATTAAATAAGCAAAAGTGAAATGAGTGAAAATGAAGTAGGTGAACTGGATAATAAGAAGAAGCAAATTTCTTAAAACTATGACAACTTCAAAGAGTAAATCGATAGCAAATTTATGTCAGACTGAATAATTGAATAATTGCCAACTGGTGACTTTTCTCACTTTGTTACAAGAATGATAACAATATAATTACTTTGCCTTGACAAATAAACTGATGCTATTAAACTTTGAAAATAAACTGATAACTTTGACAAATAAACTGATGCTATCAAAATTTGAATAATTGGAGATTGCAAACTATAACGAAAAAAAGCAGCTAATAAACAAAAGACTATTCATAATATGAATAAAAAGTTGGATTTAATGAAACTATGAAGGACTGATATTGTAATTATAATTCCGCCGCGGGAAATTGATATTATAATTAAGATTTAATGAGTAAGTAAACAAACTGATTTCATTATAATTTGCTTTCATATTGACTAAATTTGAAAAAAACCTGTCGAAAAAATTGTAATCACATATTAATCATGCTCACTATGTTGCATTGCATTCAGTAAGTATGATGGGAATAATAAGAGTAATGATATTAGAGTGATAACAGCAACAATAATGACAGCAATAATAATTATTATTGTTGTTAATTAATAATAATAATAGTTAGTAATAAAAATGCATACGTAAGTTCCAAATGTGAAAAGTTGTTTACGATGATGTGTGAAGTAGACATACAAATTCTCGTTGCCGGAATCGGATAACTGATACTTATCGTTGTTTAAAAGTTTTTCAAAAATTTTTTCTTT